AGCTCTGGCTTAGGCTTGTGTCAATAATTTTAGTTGGTCTTTTGTGATACCGCCCATGAAGAAGATGGTGCTTGGAGCCTGAGGAATCGATTATAGACTTTTCCTCACTTCCATTGGAATATTCAATGAGCATCACCACATGTATTAAACTAGCTCACTGATCATATACATCATCGACCTCAAATAAATTACAGTCCTGTAAGGTGTCCGATTTTTTCAGCCGTAATGGTCATTGAATTAATTTACTTAAAATTTCTAAATCTACCTGCATGACTACTACACCCGCCATTGCTTCTGACAGTCGACCACAACCGTCATCTGGCTGACAAGCCTGGGCCATGGTCCAGCTTTGCTCTACAAGCAAATTCTCTATCACAACATCGCTCATCTTAATACTCTGCGTTGTGTTGATGGTCCGACTTGTCTGTGGCGCCCAAGGTTGCCAACGGGTATTACAAGACCAGCGCGCGCTCACGTTGCACCGCAAAACTTGTGCTGAATACAAAAAAACAGTGCTTGCTGTGTCTCAGAAGCGAAAAGATCGCGTGCGTAACGCAATAGCGACAAAGGTATTGAAAGACAAAACACGCGGTCCTTCAGTAGGTTCTATGTGATCGTCTGCGGATGCTTGTGCTTACAAAACCATCTCAAGTGCTCCGCCATTGCGGCCTCAGAGATCGTAGACCTAAGAAACACGGAATCAACAGATGTGGTATTGCCGCCTGAACATCCTATTATCGAGGCGATGGCCCCCTTGAATCATGCTTCTGAGTCGCCTATGGATGCTGACATCCGGGATACTACTAGTACCAATATGTTGACCAGAAGCCCAGATATTGATACATCAACGATGGACATTGGTAAGCCCGGAAATGCTATTGATTTCTTGCACTGACCAGGTACACATCAGATCATCACATCTCTGGTGAACTGCGTGCTCTTCCCGGTGATGGTAACGTGAACTTGGAATGCATTGGTGAGAAACGATCCTTGCACTTTAGTGTATGCTAATGTTTCACATAGCTCGCTCTAAACCGCAAAGAAATACCAGACTGCCCAAGCGGTATTGCGTCGATGGGCCTGTGGAACACATCGTTCGCAATATTGAAACCTCTACTCAGGACGTTGTACACGAAGATACCCTGGCGACAGATATACCACCAGCCAGAAGTGTTGTCCGAAGGGTGATTCTTCTTGTCACTGAATCCATTCGCAACGTCGTGGAGCGTTTGGTCTATCTCGTGACTACCCACAGCGCCCGTCCTACGAACCGGACATATTCATTCCCTCACGTCTTCTGGTCAATAAATGTCCAACGTTACAACCCCTTCCATCAATTTCACCGCCCCCACATCCTTTTCCGAACATGACTGTGTATCGATTGCTGAACTGGATGTCCAGCGGAAGTACGAGAAAGTCGGAGGCGGAGGTTTCACGTCTTGTGCACGATGTGCTACTTGCAGAGGATTTTGATGTCCATGGTCTTCAAGGCTTCAGTATGAGGAAGCATCTGAGCCTTCTCGATAGCACTCCAGACCAAAATCCACCTAATGGTGCTGCGAAGTTTCCGGAAGGTTGGATTGAGACGGACGTGACTATCGAAGTCCCAAGTCGGAAAGCGGATGCTTCTGGTGGGCATCTGTTTACAATCCCAGGATTTCACTATCGGCCATTGGTCAGTGCCATTTGCGAAGCGTTTTTAGACGCTCAAGCGAAGGCATTTCATCTATGGCCCTTTCGTCGTCTCTGGACTGACCCAAACGATGGGAATACGTATCGTGTTTATGATGAGCTTTATACATCAGATGCGTGGATACTAGCTCACGATGACCTACAGAAGCAGCCCAAGGAGCCTGATTGTGCTCTCGAGCGAGTGATTGCAGGCTTGATGTTTTCCTTGGATGCAACTCAACTTGCCAACTTCGGGAACGCATCGGCGTGGCCGTTATACTTGTTTTTTGGGAACTTGTCAAAGTATGCTCGTGCCAAGCCTGACTCCGGAGCGTGTCATTTGATCGGATTTTTACCATCTGTGAGTGTCATTTGTCTACTGCTACGTTATGGTTTCACAACTCCATGAAGCTCCCAGATCGAATTAAAAATACCTTCCGAAACCTTGGGGTCGTTACGAAAAGCGGTATAGCTGCTCTCTTCGCACACTGTCGAAGAGAGCTTTTCCAGGGATGTTGGGACATTCTTTTAGATGATGAATTTATCCATGCGTACCACCATGGTATCGTGATAAGATGCGCCGATGGCATACTTCGTCGCGTATTTCCTCGAATATTCACATATTCTGCAGATTATCCGGAAAAGTGAGTGGGCTCGCAAAATCTAGTAACGTACTACCAATGTAATGTGAATACCAGGATACTTATTGCAACCATCAAAGACATGGGATCATGTCTCTGTCCGCGCTGCCTGGTGACGAAATCAAAATCTGATCATGTCGGATTTTTGAGAGATGCGCGCGCGCGGATTGATAGTCTAAGGGTCTACTGCTTGCAGACGATACAGGCTGCACGAGATTTTGTATACAAGTCCGGGTACGCAGTCGATGGAACTGCAGTGGAGAACCTTCTTTTCCATGAGTCATGGGTTCCAACTATTGTAAGCACTATTCCATGTGTCCCGTTTACTGGCTGAGACACGACATTCAGAATGTCTTCGCTCAAAAGCTTGGGCGCTTCGGATTTGACCCATTTCGCATGTTGGTCGTTGACCTTATGCATGAATGCGAATTGGGAACATGGAAGGGTCTCTTTAGTCACTTGGTCCGCCTTCTATACGCCCTCCCCAATGGCGCTGAAGTTGTTATTACACTCAATGAAAGGTAAGTCCCTTCTTTTGAACTTGCAGAAAGATTTAGATTACCGTCAGATTCAGACTTGTGCCCACATTTGGCCGAGGTGTTATCCGCAAGTTCTCCGATGACACGTCAAGCATGAAGAGGTTGGCTGCAAGAGACTTCGAGGACATTCTACAGGTCATCATGCTTTCTTTAGGGAAATCGCTACTGATGATATTGCAGTGTGCCATGCCCGTTTTCGAGGGACTCCTACCATCCCCACACGACGCAATAGTCCAGACTCTGCTGTTCAGATTCGCTGAATGGCACGCCTACGCAAAAATGCGGCTACACACCGAAGTAACCCTGGATTCCATGTCACGAACGTTTACTTCCCTCACTTTGCAGCTACGAAAGTTCCGTCGTCAGGTCTGTGATCACTATACTACCCTCGAACTGCCGAAGGAAAAGGCTGCACGGTATCGACGACAAGCACATAATGAAAGCCGGCCTACTGATGTATCTTCATCCTCTCCAAAGAAAAAGTCATTCAATATGAAAACCTACAAGTTTCACGCCCTTGGAGATTACGTTCAGTCCATTAAGTTCTTTGGAACCACCGATTCCTTCACAACACAAATTGTATGGCGCCAGTTTATTATTATCATGAGCTTCTACTGAATACTGAGTTTAGGGTGAACTTGCCCATCGAGCCATCAAGGCATTTTAACCCATTCACCAACAAGAAGAATACGGCCAAGCAGCTTTCCAAACACGAACGGCGCCGACGCCGGCTTCGAAAGATGCAGGAGTTAGAGCAAGAATCGTCTTTGGCTCCCGACTCCCCCGATAATCTTCCGCCCCCGGATCCGCGCCTTCATCACCAACTATCCCATCATCGCAATTCTCCTATCTATATACACCAACTACTACAGGGACAATGAGAATGATCCAGCGCTCAATGTGTGTATTTTTACAAGCTTCTGTGCGCTAACTAATAAACCGCCCTTCAAGAAATTCATTCCGAAACTCAAGGACCACGTGTTGCGTTGCTTGCGGGGACAAGATAGCGATAGCCTCGTCGAATTTTCGAGCGATGACAGAAATAACATTGTCATATGCGACAATGTTTTGTTCTCCGTCAATACGCTACGGGTCAACTACACCTCGTATGATCTGCAATGCGAGCAAGATCTGATCAACCCGCGCAACCATGCTGATATCATGGTGCTATCAGGTGATTCAAAGGCCTGCTTAACTCATCCCTACTGGTATGCTCGAGTGCTACGTATTCTCCATGTAAACGTACTTGACCTACGATCGGGTGGAGCGCATCCACAAAAAACTCAGTTGGAGATGCTGTTTGTCCGATGGTTTGATCCGGTGCGGCGGTACCATTCTGGGATTCAAGCGGCCCGTCTGCCAAAAGTTGCATTTGTACCCGAGACTGATGACTCGGCTTTCGGTTTCGTCGATCCTGCGTTGGTGATTCGCGGGGTGCACCTGATTCCAGCCTTCGCAAATGAAAGGGTGCTCCAATCCACACCACAGCAAACATCAGCTGGACACAAATGGAGGTTGGACGATGAATGGACTGCGTACTATGTCAATATGTGAGTCCTCGTCTTGGATTTTCTTGATAGTCTCATGTCATTGGCAGGTTTGTAGATCGTGATATGTTCCTTCGTTTTACCAACGCTGGTGTCGGCCACGGACCCTGGAGAGTAGAGGATCCAAGCGAGGATTCAGGAGAAGCCTATAGCCATGACGAACCTGGTGAGGAGGACGAGGACGAGATAGGGGAAGAGGAAGAGGAAGATGAGGAGAGCCAAATGGGAGAGAATGATGACGGGGACGAGGGGAACGAGGAGGAGGGAGATGATGACGAGAACGAGAACGAGAACGACGAGAACGATGAGAACGACGAGAACGACGAGAACGACGAGAACGACGAGAACGACTCTGATGCCGACGAGGGTGATAATTTCTAATCTAATACACATGAGGATACATTTTTGGTGTCATCTAACAGGTCCAGGTATTCTGCACGACTCTGGAAATATTCACTGCACACTCAGCCTTATGCATTCTACACCGCACTTGTACACTTCGACCCAAATTGTAGTTCTTTCGACACCCCACGGACAGTTACTAAATATATCGGAGTTTGAAATACTTGCCAGTGCATACGAGTTCGAGTTCTCGACACAGCGACCATCCACAACACCCCTTTCTTTCCCGCCATCATTACACCACATCCTGTTGGGCAGTCTTTGGGTGCGGCGACATCTTCACCAATCGATTTGTCTACTACCACCCTTGGTGGTGGAGTTGCAACTCTCCGTGCAGGTCAACATATGCGAGCGTCTCTTGGTTCAACCAGGAAAGCACCTGGATTTAGGCGGGGCTCCCCTGCCATGAGCACGACGCGATCAGTGCCAACTTTCTCTCTCACTTGTCATCCGGCCAGTATGGCAACGTTTCCATGGGTTTCGAACAATATCGTGTCGAAGACCCTTATGGGTTGAACAGTCGTGGACAGCAATCGGCTTGGACAGCGGTTGGCTTAATTCGTAAGATCTCGACTCGAGCATTTGGTCTGGTAACAGCGTCAATGATGCGAGCACTTCTACCTCTGCTGAAAGTGCCCCGAGTTCTCCACTGATGATCAGCGAAACATCATTTGTGAGTCCGTCACTCAGGATCTCATCAACATTTCGTTGAACATGCATGGTATGTCCAGAAGTTTAGCTCTAATGTCATTGAGAAAGCAAGTATTTTTTCTGTCTTGATGGTCGTTCTCATGCCGACTGGGATTAGTGCATCTGTGTGGCCGAACACAGTACCAGGAAAATTGTGATCGAAGAGCTACTCAATCGCTCCCGCTTGGAGAAACTTTCTCGCAACTCACTATTGTGTGCAGATACTATTTTTCTTTCGCACATTTATGGTTTGGGCTGGTCATTCTTGTTGACTGCGCTAGACTATGCTGATCCTGCACAGCATATGCTCCTCGTCGAAGGCATTCGCCTACGGTCATTCTCACATCGGTCCCCCACGGTCGTCAAGCGCGTTCGAACGACGGATGTGTCTTGCAAGGCACCTCTCCTCACAGCGCGAGCCTGACACCCCCTCATACCAATGCCACTGGCTATACGGACGTTGCTGGATATGCTAACGTGAGCCCTTTTGGCACGGTCGCTGTTGCTGGGTCATTGAATGATCCTTATCAGAGCTACGGCTATGGCATGTAGAGCGGGTACATTGATTGGTGTGTTTTTTCCTACTAATTAGTATACACGAGCTAACTATCCTCTTCTACAGCTGGCTACGAACACATTGGCGCCAGTCGCTACCACTGGCAGTGGGCCTCGATGCAACACTGAGGAGGAGTTCGTTGGATCTGAATGGGGACGAGTAGCGGATGGCGGGCGCGAGCTGGGTGGACGGCGCTAGTAGGGTGCTGTTTTTTTTTCATCATTTTTCGCTCTGCATCGTCGTGTTTCATTCTGCATCAACGTATATCCCTGTATAGCAATACCTATCATCCAATTCATTTGTTTCATTGTCTATCAACGTGGTTCAATTGCAAATGTAAAAACTACCTGGAACGAAATCGAACGGGTATCGATCTGTATATTTTGCTCGTTCGATCTCTATCAATAAAATCGAGAAAAGTCTCATTTTTCACGATAGCCATTGATCGAACTACAAATTTCTATCAATAGCTATCAACATACATCCACCTCTATCTTGCTTATTTTCACTGGGAATTAGCAGCTAACTCGTGATCTAATGGTGACAAAATAATTTCCCCTTGTAATGACATGAGAGGAGTGTAGCGGTAAGTTTGAATATTGCCGTTGCACTGGAATTCTTACCAGATATTTCTATCCATCGCCAAGACCAAGCCAATGCTCTGGTCACATGATTTCTTGTTGATGCTATTAGCTAACACGTGGTCCACTTGTGAACAAATGATTTTCCCTTGCCAGCCTTAGATATGAAATGAGAGAAGTATGGTCTACGAGTCTGCGTTCTGTAGTGTAAGAAGTAATTTACTAGGAGTGCCCCGAGCATTATAACTTGATATCAAGCTATGTATATACACAACTTGGTAGATTATCATATGTAATCAGCATCAGGTCATACCGAGCTACCTTCTATTTAGTGATGCACATCACATGACTAACTTGCGCTGGTTTTAGAAGTAGACTTAAATACGAATAAGCACCTATGCGACATAAATTCCTGCAAATCGAGGAATAGAACTTTATAATCAATCCCAGACCTCACCTATGCCTCCGCCCAGCCCTGATCGATTCCTTCTCGCATAATCCACCTGCCTCCCCCTAACCACTTCATTACCCTCTCTTCGTCTTGCTCTTCCCCCTCTTCCAACACACTCGTATCACCTGTGCCTTGCAGCGCCAACACAGCCCACCCAACAACCATCATTCCCGGAGGTCTCTGCTCACCCGCACAGTCTAACGCTTCACATATATCTCCAAGCGTACTCGCAACAACCCGTTGATCAGGCATCGAGCCGCGCTCAATAATGGCAATAGGCGTGTTGCGCGGGTATGGACGCCCCTCTCTTCTCCCTTCCCCACTTTGCAGGCCTTCCCCGCCACCGTCGTCACGCATCATGGCACTCACAACCTGCGCTATCCGGGCGACACCCATGAGGATGAGCACAGTCCGCGCGCGTTCGTATCCAGGAAGCTTGACATCTTTTCCCTGTCTTCCAACACCGGTACATACAACGACGCTTTCAGCAACGCCGCGCTGCGTGACTGGGATGCCTGCAAATATAGGCGCTGCAAGTGCAGATGAGACGCCTGGGACAACGAGCGGTTCGAACCCGTGTGCTCGGAAGAAGAGCACTTCTTCCCCTGCACGGCCATAGACGACTGGGTCTCCTTGTTTTAGCTGTGTGAAGAGATAACTGTTTCAGTGTAAAGGGAATGAAGGATTGGACGTACTCTGACGACGGTGAGGCCGCGTTGAGCAGCTTCAACAGCTGCGTCCATCATCTCTGATTGTGCGCCCTCAGCATTCCCGGGGAACTTGCGTGCAATGCGCACTTCGACAGTTTGAGGTATGAGTGCAAGTACGGCAGCAGGAACGAGTTTGTCTGAGAGAACAAGGTCTGCGTACTTCGTAAGCGCATTATGAGTTGCAATGGTGAGAAGGGAGGGATGTCCTGGACCGGAACCAACCAGGAGAATACGGCCTTTCTTTGGAGGCGGGAAAAGTGTCAAGTTATGTAATGAACTCTCGATTGGAGCATGGGTTGAGTACGATGAACTCGTTTGGGGAGATTCACCAGATAATATGAGTTCCATCTCGTCCTCTGACATGAATGCCAGGCGTGTGATGGGCCAGTACTCGCTGACCTGGGCAACCCATTTCATGCGGCGGCGGGAGGACTCTTCTTTGCTTTCGGCAGTATTGTTTCTCCAACTAGGTACGGGCCTGTTGGGAGTGGTGACACTACTGTCCTCACCTTCCTCACACTCTACGACGTCATCATCTGTATTCTTGGCCAAACGTCGAAGTTTTCCGACCTGCTTCACGGCTCCAGCGATATCTTTTGGCAGCACGCTAACAATCTCTCGTTTCACACGCCCCGCAAGCCTGCATCCCTCCCCGTTGGTCGTCACACCCACTTGTAGTGCGCTCTTTCCACCTGTAGATGGATCCACAAAACGGTGTGTGGCTGCAAAGGAGAAGTCGCATAGTGCAGGAAGGTCGGTGACGTTTACGGGGATGCTGTGTGCATGACAGATACGCGCGAGTGCCGGTGCGTCCGTTGTCTGTATAGTGATACAGATGAGAGATATAAATGGGTTTGTGGTGAGGAATGCGGCGAAGGATTCAGTGTCCGCGCTTGTATCTGGTGCGGAGGCAAGTAGGGAAGCGGATGCAGAGGGAAGCGTGTCCCAGTCCATGAGTTTTATTTGCTGTTGGACCGCTCTCCATCGTAGCTCGTCGCATACTAACCCTTTGGTGAGTATGATGACTTGCATACCTGCCTCGAGCGCCGCAAATGCCCTAGAGGCAGCCAGAGCATCACCGCCGATGATAAGGATGGTATTTCTGGGCCCTTTGAATGTTACAAGGAGGGACGCACCACCTACTGGGGCGGGGTACGGGCTCGGCGCACTGGAGGCCATGTCAGCGAAATAAGGATAAGAAAAACAGGCTGAGTTTTCAAAATGATCTACTCATGGTAAATAACAAAGATTAATATTGCATTGATGATCAAGATAAAGAAAGTCGTCATGATTGCGTGACACGTGTATTGCACATGACCGACCACGCGGTCCAGTCACATTTATATATAATTAGATCATCGTGTCCTCGCGCTGCGAGGTAGCCAATATCCAAAAGCCGGGAGAGTAAGTTGCTGTACAAAAGTGTACTAAGCAGGATAACTACACTACTGGACGTTTCCCTTCTAGTTCCGGGCTATCAACCAAGAAGGGTATATCATTCTGCCTGTACGTATTATTCATGGGGTATCGTTGTGATGTGCTTCGTTCTGTCTCAGTTGTCCCACCACCGACAGTCGAAATGTAATTTTTATCGTTTCGACTGGTGGCGACGCGAATAAACACCATGTAGAAGGCAATGGAAATGATCGGGTTGATCTAGTGACTGAAGATCAGAGATTTTCAACAACAGGTATCAGCGACATTACCACGTCTCCTATGACATATAGGCCATCATTTGCGAGAGCGAAACATATTAGTGAGGAGCAAAGCGCTGCCGAGTACATAATAGCAGCATCGATGAACACGCGCAATATAGGCATGTTGCCCTTCGTAACGCGAATTGCAGAGACCCTGCGTTCGACCATCCAGATACGATATGCCAATAATCCTGTAAAAATTCAGGTTGGTGTGGGGCCTCAGCAGCCGCATACGCAGAAGTGTGCTTACCGGTACTCAACACATTCGTTGCAAGTGTGGATGTAAGAAATGCTGCGACCCAATGTCCAAGCTTGCTGGTGAAGAAATTTTCGACATCGCTAATCGACGCTTGCGAAAAGGAGTAGACCATACAAACGCTACACGCTGTGAAACAATGTCAGAGCACACGACTTCCTGAGCGTGATGATAAAATAACCTGCGACACCGCACCACATTATGCATGGTATGACGATAATCCAGACAGATTGCCAAACAACGTAACATCGATAAATCTTTTGCCAGAACCGGTAATTACATTAGCTGTTTTCAAACTGGCAGATAAAAACAGAACCCACAACCACTCCGTCGCCAACCAGGGTTTGTAATATGTATATGGCATTCTTAGCCACAAATGTTGGTTGCGGAGCGTATGCGAAAAACGCCGCTGGACCGCCTGGGAACGTATCGCGATACTTCACCAGTCCATCCTCAAGATGAATGATGCCTACGATTATGTGCTGAGGAGATTTCAGCAGATGATATTGGACAGAAGCGGTGAGAAGCTAACCGCAGTACTCAGTACGAGCAACAGGGTAGCAACCGCAGCGATTGGACGATTGACGTCCCGCATGCGATGTTTGTAGGTGAACATCCAGATGGTACCTATAAACATGAGAGCTGAGAAGCCTAAAGAACGCTAGCTTGGTGAGCATGAGACAAACAAACTCATTGCGATACCCACCGTATAAAATGCCTTCCAGAACTGTTGACATGATGACAGCGACGTCCAGCGGGACGCGAGCTACAGGCATGGCGAAAATGATGCCTGGGGGATGATGGGCAACCTTGCCAGCTCATCTGTATCGTTATATAGTAGACATGGCGCCCTCAGCTTGAGATAGCATAGCATCAGGGATCAGCGAATTGCGGCAGCAATTCTGGTAAATTTATATCTCCAGTTTTAACAGAACTTGCAACAATGTCTAGATGAGCACACAACATTCATCAGGCAGATAATACCTCTCGTGCACGTATTTTGCTATAAAAGGTGTTGAGTGTGTTCTTGAAATACGATGCGTGATGGTGGTCTCAGAGAACGATATGGCATTCCCTGCTACATCATGGCAATCAGATCTTGAAGTTGCAAGATACCACTTTACCTGTGAATCAGTGGTCTCTTTGTGCCGCCACTTTCCCACACGATTAATGGAGGCAGTGGGCTATCCAACTCGCATGCAGGAGTAGTGGAGCGGATGCGAGACCCTGCCTCTGAATGCATGGACTAGTATATCCAACTTGAAGTTGCCCGGTCCTGTCATCGATGACGCGAGCCTCGACGTGACGGCGCCAGCGCTAGCGATCATAAGGCACGCTGTACAGCCCTCTCGATGTTCTGTGCGTGAGTAATCTGCTGGAGGCGAGGCATGTTGTCGACGTGGTTATTTTGGAGCTGCGGCATTCACATGAATTCGACGTGTAAAGAAAGAACGACTTTCTGCCAGTGTGGCAGTATTACTAATCGAGACCAAATCGAGACAGGATCAAAATATTCAATTTATTTAAAACTGTAAGTTAATTAATTACAAGGTAGCTAATCCGGAAGCGACAGCAAAATATAGAAATTCGGCATTTGGATGGGACGCCGACGATATTGGACGCGTCTGGAGGCATGGAGAGTCAGCTTTGCGCAGCACCGTGACGCCGAGAATCGCGTGAGATGCAAACTCGAAATTTGGAAACCCCATAATTCCCCCACTTTGCGATTCAATTCTCCTTCCCAAGAGCCATGTCGTCCATGCTTGCAGGCCCCTTGTCAGACCACTGTTTCACTTCAGTTGCGCACCACGGTACGCCCAAGGGCAAAAGCATCACTATCGCTGGCGTACCCACATACCTATCTGCTCCGGAAGCTCCTGCTGCGTCCGGGGTGGAGACCGTCATCCTATACTTCTCGGATGTCTTTGGGCCATTCTACATCAATGCTCAATTGGTTCAAGATTACTACGCTTCTCAGGGTACGTCTTTGTGCGTGTAGGTTGTTTGTGCACGTATCGATCATGCAAGCAGGTTTTACTGTGGTTGGGATAGATTACTTTTTTGGTGATCCTGTGCATCTGCATCTCAACAAGCCTGGATTTGATCGCCCGACATGGCGAACAAAGTCCGTCGAGCAGGCGAAGGCTAGCGTCCCAAAATGGGTGGATGGTGTCAAGGAAATGTTTGGTACGATCCCTTTCAGCATATGTGGCAAGCCGAAATTATATACTACAAACCACAGGCACGAATGTGAACTACTGTGCTGTTGGTGAGTAGACTGGGTCCTGGAAGACTGCTGCTTTTCATACTGGATCAAGGTTTCTGTTTCGGCGCGCCCTATGTCTTTCAGGTTGCAGCTACTGATATGCTGTCGTGCGGTATGTGACATGCCTCTCCATTTTTATGATGTCTATATGCGAATTCATCCACTAGCCGCTGTGGCTCATCCCACGAGCTTGACTGAGGAGCTTCTGAGAGCCAGCAAAGGCAAGTCCCGCGATATTCTTCTCAATGACAGCATTGACCAAACTATGCAATTAGTGCCCCTGCTATTCTCTTGCGCAGGTATAGACACGTCTTCCGGTCCTCTGAAGCATGCCGAGCTCATACCATCATATAGAAACGGACTCTGCATTCCCGGCGCCGTTCCGACGACGCGTTGAAGACATTCTTGTGGAGAAGAAGGCAACATACTATTTCCAGATATTCAGCGGTGTATCACATGGCTTCGGAACAAGGGCAGACATAGAAGTCGAGACTGAAAGTCAGTGTTTGTCATCTTTTTTGGTGATTTAATTTTTTACATAATCTCATAGGGTGGGCGAAGGAGGAATGCCAACGTGGGATGGTGGGATGGTTCAAACGCTTTACGAGTAGCAAGTGATATATGTCGTTATTAAACGAAATCGCAAACTGTTTTGGTAAATCATACTCACCTTGTAGCCTTGCTCCGGATGGATTCAAATGTTATCAGGGCTAGATATTGCTGGCATTCTGTGGACTCTTCCAAGGTTGCAGCTAGCTATAATTATTCCCCCTCAAGAAGTCATCCTTGAATACTAATCTATGTCAAACATACGGACATCCGGTATTCCGAGTTGTCCACGTGAATGCTTATCTGGAGGTCGGCTGACCACAAAGTCTGGATGTCGGCTGACCACAAAAGTCATCAAGGACATTATACGCCATCGACGGACTCCGCAAATATAAAGGTCGCACGCAGGCTATTTCGAAGGGTTGGATTCACCTCTACGCACAACATCGACAATGTCCCCCACACTCGCCTCTGCCCCTGGTAGCTGCTGCTTCTCCGGTGTAAAACACACGGGCACACCCGTCGGCCGTGTTGAAGACCTCGGTGGAATCCCAACATACATTTCTGATCCCCCTGCTCCCTCACAGAAAGTGATACTCTTCCTGGCAGACGTTTGGGGCCCGCTTTATGTGAACAATAAGTTGATTCAAGATTATTTCGCGTCTTGTGGTGCGTCCCGTTGTCTAATTTGCACATTGTGAATCGAAAATTAGATGCATGGAACAAGGCTATATCGTACTTGGGCCTGATTATTTCTTTGGCGACTCCGTGCCGAACCACCTGCCTGACCGTGACCGCCAGGCGTGGATCGACGGTTCCCGGAAACCTGCTATCGATGCATTCCCCGCTTGGCTAGACGCTGTGAAAGCAAAATATGGTATGTGGTTTCTTCCGGTCGTTTTCGAGGTGGTCGAGATATATACATATTGTATACAGGGAGGGAGGCAACAAAGTACTGCGCTGTCGGTACGTCAATACAAAAACAATGCCAAAAGATGCTGAACCTATGCGATCAGGGTATTGCTTTGGAGCGTCGTTCGTCATGGACTTATGTTCTGACGGGTCGGTAGTTGCCGGTAAGTGATTAGACAGCCTCTCAAGAGAGATGCCCACGCGAGGACTGTAGGAGCTCTGGCTCACCCCGCATTCCTCGATGAAAGCCACTTTGAGAAACTTGATGGTATGTTTTTCGTGCTTGGTGTATCATCTGGCTGCCTAAACCAAGCACCAATCGTTACATCACCACAGGACCTCTCCTTCTCTCCTGCGCAGGTAAGATCCCCTTCCTTCATTCAGATGCTCTCGATCGCCAATAAGCCCGCCGATTCCTAATCTTATTCTCATATGTAGAGGAAGACCACACATTCCCACTCCCCTCGCGTCGACGTGCAGAAGACATCATGGTCGCCCGCAAATGCACGTATTTTTTCCAGGTATTTTCAGGCGTCAAACATGGATTTGCCGTACGAGGCGATCCAGACATTGACATGCAGCGTGAGTGGCCTGGATTATTCCTTTCGTATCGACATTGACAAAGTACATACTGGATGTTGGTGCAGGCTGGGCGAAAGAGGAGAGCGCTAGGGGAATCGTAGGCTGGTTTGATCGGTTTACGGTCTAGGTGGTCAACCTGCTGTGTTGGGCGGAGAAATGTTGATGAGTTTTTATATCTTCATGTCTTGAGTAGCATCGAAATCAAGCCCAACTCGAAGCCATCACTGATGAGGCAGCGTCTTTGGTTCCAGCGAACACAGTCAAGAAATCCTCATATCCGGCCGGGGCCGAGTTATCGGGCTAAAGCAAAACGAGACGTGCTACTGTCGGTCATGGTCTCGGTCATTATTCCTCGATCATGGTTTCCGTAAACATGTGGCAATTGCCTTTAAATTTTTGTTGGCCACATTTTCTTAATTTAAGGTGAAAATGAGCGAAGTATCCTCTGGTTATGATCGCAACAGAAGATTTGGCTTCTATATCAGCATCACATCATGTTTCAAGAACGCCCCTAACACCGCCCCAAACCTTCTAGGAAATACGGTGCATGAGGCAGTGCTGATAGTATGTTATCCGCTTGCTGAATGCTGATTCCAGGGTCTCATCTCAAGTATTATTATAGTTCAATAACTACATTGCGAAAGACGCCCGCTACAGCATTCTCGGCATGTCTGCCAACGTTCCAGGGTGTGCACTGCATTACCGAATAATACTGTAATGATATAAAAAAATTGAGGTATTTCTACTATTTAAAGATCGCGATGCAAATGGAACTGGCGAAGCTACTGACGCTGTCGTAGATCCCTCAGACATAGTAACCACCATGCCTTCCAAATCAACAAGAGGCCTCTCGCTGGATTCCGCTAATATAATGTCAACGGTTCTGGAAGGCATTCTGTACGGTGAGTATCTCAATGAGTTCCTACGTCGCGTGCCTACCAAACTAGCGATCTTCCTGCAGGATTTTCAGTCCCCATGTTCATGAGTACCATCTGGACATTCACCTACAAACAACGCATCCGGGACATCAATCGACCAGTCAGTGTGGTTGCAACCCTGCTGTTTATACTCAGTACTGCGGTTAGCTTCTCATCACTCTCATCTGATTCCACCTACTGAAATATCCCAAGCACATGATCGTAGGCATCATGCGCGTCGAAGATGGCCTGGTGAATAATCGCGATATCCCTGGTGGGCCAGCGGCGTACTTCGCAGACGTTACCCAACAATCATTTGCGACCAAGAATACGATCATCACACTGCAAACACTGCTTGGCGATGGCGTGGTGGTGCGTTCGATTTTTTTTGTTACCAGCTTGAACCCTCGTGACTTATAGATCTGAAATCCCCTTTCTGACAAAAGATCTATCGATGTTACGTCGTTTGGCAATCTGTGTGGATTATTATCCTACCATGCATGATGTGGTGCGGGGTCGCAGGTTATTTACAATCATACTCGGGAACTTCGTTATGTGCTCTAACGTACGCTGTTTCGAAGCGTTTGGAATTTGTATGGTCTATGCCCAAGCGCCGACTACCACTGCCAAAAATGTCTTCAGCAACGAGACTGGACATTGGATTACGACGTTCCTTTCCTTGACGCTTGCGACTAATTTGCTCAGTTCAGGTATGTCCACGTCTGCAAAACCGCAGTGCGAAAGCCCGTAAGCTCAACGACCTGAATATATGCAGGGTTACTGGCATATCGCATCTGGACAATCGAACGCAATGTCTCTGGAGCTTACGCTACAAAGAACAAAATGCCTATATTGCGCGTGCTCATAGATGCTGCGCTTTTATACTCTGCAGCACTCTGCACCTCACTGGCGTGTTTCGCCCTCTTCAACAATGGATTTTATGTTATGGGCGACCTGGTATGCAGTTCCGCTGTTATCATCTCCTATCGTAATCACTAAGCTGAGCTTCGATCAACCATGCTGTTGTAGATCGTCCCCATCATCTCGATCGTCTTTTACATGGTGTTTATCCGCGTCGCGATCGGGCAAAATATCCGGGAATACCTGTCGACCACTATTTGTGGAGGGATAAATGAATCGGATCGAAGAACCTTGTCACCACGATCTCCTGTGCAGCCCTCAATGCAGGTTGGACATAGCAAGAACGATATATCATCTTGGCCAACAGCGACGCCATGAAAATAGCGATGCAATTGCGGTATAAATCCCCATCGTACCGTATCGCTATAACCCCTCACTTGAGGACGGTAGCTACCTCACTCGAAGGAACACGAGAAGACGAAGTTGGCATGAAGATGTGACCATTGTACTTTTACTTTACCTTAATGCCTTGAAGATCTAATATGAGGAAATTTGCTCAGCGCTCAGTACGGGGATGATTTATCGACTCGTGTTGCACCCAAATACACGAGAAATGCTTGAATTTACGACGGTATATTCGTTGATCGTATGTAAAGAACGGACGCAGCCATTGTATAGCTGCATGTACGTGAAGCGTACTAGAATGATCGCGTACGAAGCACGGCAGGAACGAACGAGACTAGTAAGTAAGTAAGAACGTGCAGCCAGCAGCACACGATTAGCGCCATCTGGGTAAATAAGAAAGCAAGAGTCTAAAACGGTATCAGAGCGGTATGTCAGTGAAAGAAATGTTAAAAAGAAAAAGTAGTCCATCCATCTGTCGTCTCGCTCGCTCACTCATATTCTCTCGGTGAAGGCGACTTCATTGCCAGGGAATCGTACCTGCCATGGGAGGGTGCGTATGTCGTGCCCGTCACGTTCGCAACGCCAGAGTTGTGTGTCATAGAATCAAGATGCCGGGACCGTGCTACGATGTCGGAGGCGATTTCGGTGCCGTATTGTTCTGCCAGTTGACTGCGGCGAAAACATCAACACATACAGGCGGGGATAAATAGGGGATAACACACCTGGCGTAATTATCCATGATAACAGCCATGCTTGCCATACTGAGCCTATAGGCTTTGGGCATCATGCCTTTACCGAAGCGGTAGGTTACGTGGTTTGAGCACAAGAGGCCTGCGAGCATGATGACGAGCTGGAGTGGGACGAGGGAGAAAGCAATCGTATACCAAAGGTACAAGACGTGTTTCTCGAAGTTGATGTAAGCTTCTTTGCACCCTGGGAGAACGGAGCGGGCGTAACAGGTTTGGGAGATAGTGGCTTCGACGAAGGGGGAGTAATATCCGCAGCAATGGAGCTTGTTTTGGATCCTGAGACGGCCGTCTGCGCCGAGATCGCGAGACCACTGAGCATTAATTTTGCCTTCGAGATTGAAGGTGCGCTGCTTGTAGGTCATGTAGCCGGGTGTGATGAGGAGGGCAAAGCAGAGCCAGAGAGCGAAAGTGTAGACTGCTAGGAAGGAGCGGTTGTTGAGAAGGATGCCGGCCCAGCCGATTACGGAAGTGAGTGAGGCGAGGATGGCAGCGGCTGTGGAAAGCACGAGTTCTGTTCGGTTACCTACGCGGACGATGTCTGCGTGTTCGAATACGTCAAACCAGGTGAGAAGACAGAAGATGAGGCCTGCGAGGGCGTATATGGATAACTACAAGATATTTATCGATTAGAAAGTGGGTGAGATGGAACTGAATAAGTACTGACTGCGAGATTAGCGATCGAGAGTGCCCATTTGAACCTGTTCCAGTGCATGCGGGGACGAGTGTGACCACCTTCTTTGCCACCGAACCAACGACCGGTGATACCGTCGTAGTCTTCGTCGCTCTCTGCGGGCATACGGGCTTCACCGCTCTTAAAGGCCTCCCTACCGCCACCTCTTTTGTGCATAGCAGGATGGTCGGCATTGGCCTTTGCTGGTCTGCGCCTGCGGGGAGTGGGAGAGAGCAAACCAGAAGAAAACTTGTTAGGGAGATAGTTTACGGAGAGAGATATGTCCTTTGGGAGGGTGGGGCTATCTGTGCGGGGAGATGGGGGGCCTGAGGAGGAGTCATCGGCGGCAAAGAGAGGGGCGGGGGGCTCAAGAGGAAGCTGCATGTCTGCAAGGATTGGCCTGGTGGAAGGTGTGAGGGAATAGGCTGAGTGGGCGTGAGAGGCAGGAGAGGAAGGTCGACGGATGTGACTGGAGAAGCGATTAGTATGCAGTGAGCGCGAATTATGACGGTATTCGAATAAATGGGAGACGAGTAAGTAAAAGGAAGAAAGAAAGAAAGAAAATTTGGCACTGGATGGAAAGATTGGCAAAATTTAAAGCACGACTTACCTGCTAACACCTGGATGGTCCAACATTTGCATGTCTGCGAAGCGATACTACTTACTCAATTGCCGTTTTCAGAACAATGGCATAAACGTCAACGTACTTTGCACGTTTTCTCGTACCAAATCAACTGCTGTTCGTTAGAATCCCGTACGTATTCCCAAAACACGTAGAGCACCTGGCAGACGTCGAGCACACCAACTGCAATGTCTCAAGTAGCAGTCACAATAACAACATCCACAAATACTTGTGCGCGACATGTCACGTTTCATTAAACGCGTGACTGACGCGTCACGTCTCTCCTCAGGGATGTCTACCATGTACGATTCACATCTACGCCCGGCAAAACGTCAGCGTACAATGTCTATTTCGCCCTCACCGAGGCCGAGGCTTTCATCACTCACTCCACTCCCAGACTCCCCCTCCCCGAAGCCGGCACTCCGCCCGCTTCCTCCAGCAATCGTACTCCTCGCGCTCCCAGGGCTTCTGGCACACCCCCCAACTCATCCAGACTTTGGGTTTTCTCTCTTTCTCTCCCTGCGCGCACTAAGACAATGCTTAGCTTTACCTGCCCTCGCCCCTGATATAGAATGTCATGCTTGGACGAGTTTAGCCGAAGTCGGCATGAGAGTCATGGAGAGTGGCTTTTGCTCTCAGGAGGGAGGATGCGATTGGGCTGTAGGTATTTACGCCGAGGTGTGTCGTGTTTTTCTGCTACTTCTGCATGCTGATGAGTATTGCACACAAGGTCGAGAAAGCACTGAGCAAAGGCCTGCTCATTGCACAAAAAGTTCGTCTCCACTTATTTTTGTCATGAACAATTGACCCTCATTAGTATTCAGCACCCTTCACTTCGACCGCTTCGCCACCACCTCACGCTCCTCCATGCTCGCTTTGCATTTACATTCCCTTCCTCTTCCACATCGCCAAAATTTGCACGCGCTATCCTCAGACGCCTCATTGCGTCACTCGCACCCTCCGATCCCCCAGGCACCGTTTATGCTGCACACCTGGCATTAATCACCCAGATCACTACACCACCCCCTTCTTCTAATGCTACCGCTAATCTCAGCCCTGCACCACCAGGTGCCCCCGTCCTCCAAGCAACCCTTGCCGCCATAGATACTCTAATAACTCTTGCACGCAAAAACCATCACCCACGAATTATCGCCCTCGCTCACGTCATCAGATTGCGAGTCCTCCTTCGTGCAAGTGCATGGCCGCAAGTTGGGGCTGCTCTCGATACCGCAGAGGCCGTGCTTGGCTTAATTTTCGACAAGGACGGCAAAGATAGTCATGATAAAGGCCCTATCAATACAATCGCCGACGCAGAACCAGATAATGACACACTTCCTCGTTGGAACTCCATAACAGCTCACGACGTCAATGCCCTTTCCCGCGAATATTCCCAAGTGCGCATCAACAGCAATTCAAATATGGGACCCAAACAAGAGGAGGAAAGCACACAAATAGATCCCGCTCATGCTTCACTTGTTATTCATACTCTCCTCTCCGGTACTATATTTTTCACGTTCTCTGGAAACATCCGTGCGGCCGAGCAAAGGCTCATCGCGTTGCATGAAATTGTTGATAGCGGGGCACTTGAGGGATTCAAGGACGGAATCATTCAGGTACCTTTTCTCTCATTTTTGGTCACAACCCCGTGCTAATGATTCAATTTCTACAGATACCTCTCCCACCGCACCCTCCCCTAGCGGTTCACACCACCCATCCACTCGTACTTCTCCCGCTTACATTCCTCGTCAGCGCTACTGCGAAACGTGACCCAGTGGGCAGAAATCCAAAGAGAAGACTCTGGGCCGAAGCAGGACTCAACATTCTCAATGCTGCAAGCGAGGACATTGAACGTAAGTTTTGACGTCCCTTTTTTGTCGTGTCGTTCATCACCTGTGCCAATGCTAACATTTATTTATCTTCAGTTCCCCTCTGGGCTTCCCTCGCAGACAGAGACGAAATCATACAGCGCACAGTAAGACTCACAGCTGATATTTTATGCGAGCTCGTCGCGGTACGTCTGATTACATTTCCACTACCACGCATCCTATGTCTCATTCTAACACAGATATCAATCCAACGGTCCGAATTCGACGCCGCGGAAACACACCTAAACGCACTACTCTCCCTAACCCATGCACACGACCTCTTCAACTCTTATAGCGCCCGCATCACCCTCCACGCCGCACACCTCGCACACGCACTCGGAGACACCGAACGCGCAGGCGTATGCTATCGCGTCGCCAAATCGGTAGATGACGAAACCAATGCAGGAACCGGGTATGTAGGCGCTGCCGCATGCGCTGGAGAAGCGTTATTACGCATCGGACTTCAGGCTCAGCGTGACGACGAACACATGGACACTAGCGCGAATCAAGAAACAAGTGGTGATAGAAGTGACTGGTTGGATAGCGAGACGCACGCGTTGGCTAGGTCTGCGATCCAGCGATGTCATGGGATGGGAGGGACACTTGAAGCGGTTGGAAAGGTTGTGCAGGCGGCTGTGGCTGGTGCGAGGGGGGAGATTGTTGGTGCCAAGTGCGTTTCTTTTTCTTGTTTTGTTTTCTTACTCGTCGTTGCAAAAAAGTATATTTGCCTGTACTAACACATTGAATTTCCTATATAGATCACACCTGAAGTCTGCTCTGTCTTTATCAACGTTGGCGGGAGAGAACCATCTCCGCGCATTGCTCCTCGCACAAGTGGGTGCGCAGTACTTGCATACAGCACCTGCGCATGCTATGGAGACATTGGCTGTGTGCGAGACGCTCGGCGCTGGGATGGGTGCGAAGCAGAAGGACGCGAATGGCGAGAAAAGTAAAGGAAAGGAGAAAGAGGCAGTTTCAGAAGGCATTGCAGCCAAGTACGACTCAATAGGCAATGCCCCACTCCGTCTCTGGGTGGGCGAACGATTCCTCGGTCTGTTTTCTCTTCCCTTCTTTTCATGTAGTTCAGTGCTGACGGCCAAGCGCAGACATATTCAAGCGCGCAAATAAGCCTCATCGCGTGGCGAAGCAGGAGACATTCAATGCGATGTATCGGGGTGCGGTTGAGGGGATGGTAGGGCGGGCGAGGTGGCCTTCTGCGGTGGAATTTGATCAGCATGGCGCTGATGAGGATGTCAGAATGCAGCACGCAGATCAGGGTCAGAATCAGGATGTTGAGATGTAGGGGTCTGCAACTTGTGTCGTTCATTCGAGCTGGGGTGGAGATGAACGGCGGGTGTTGGGTGATCCATCTTGGAGTTGGACGTTGCGGTTTCGGATTGACTGAACTCATAACCTTGCTAGAGGCACTTACTTATATTGATACTCGCACACACACAGCATACTGCATACATACCATACACTCAACGTTCAATGACCGCATAATGCTTACACTGCCATCATATAGCATCGAAGTATTACATTACATACTGTAACAGTAACACCTGAGGCCAGCATCTGTAGACTGGTAACCAGCCCCTCTATGAGGCAAGCCGTCGATAGAGGGACTGGTAAAACTGAGTTTGAATTTGGATGCTGAGTGGATTCATCGGGTAACGTGATGTCTATCTATATGCGGACGGCACTTTTGCGCAAAGAGCATTCGATTTATTTCATCCCCTTCCTTCCACATTTTATTTAGACACATCTATCTAATCTTGTAGCCCTCGAAATTCTCTTCTCCCCTCGCGAAAGTCCGGGTTCAAAATATTGAGTTAGTGTTGTGTAAATCCATCTGCAAAAAGTTCACTTTCCCACCCCTTCTGGACGCCCTTCTTGCCTTGCCTATATTCACCATGACCTCCAGGCAACTTGATATCTTCTGGACCTATCAAGATGCATATAACGACGACCCCGCCGAAAAATCTAGCTGCCCGCGTCTTTCCTTCTCCCGTTATGCCCAAATCTTCCTCCTTGACGCTCTAAAGGGAAGAGGAGGGAAAGGTGAGTCTGTATCTTTCCTCCACGTCGTTTTCTCATCTACCGCTGCTGGGATCCCACTCTAGGGACTCATATATACTCCCCGCGCCAGTCATTTCGTTTCCCGGAGCTCTGTGTCCCATGTTATGGCCCAATCTTCCTCCTCGGCGCTCTAGAGGGAGGAGGAGGGAAAGGTGTGCCCGTATCTTTTCTCTATGATGTCTTCTTACTTAGCGCTGTTGGGATCCCACTCTAGGGACTCATATCCACTCCCCGCACTATTCAGCTCGCTGCCCGCACCTCTCAGTCCGAAGTTATGCCGGAATTTACCCCCCGCACGCTGTATAGGGAGGAGGGGGGGCAGGTGCGTCCATAACTTTTTCCCATTTGGGTTTCTCACTTAACGGTGTTAGGATCCCACTCTAGGGATACATATCCACTCCCCGCACCACTCAATTTGCTACCCAGAGCTCTCTGTCCAAAGATATGCCCGAAATTCCCCCCTGGGCGCTGTATAGGGAGGAGGGGGGGCAGGTGCGTCCATATCTTTTCTTCACGTGGTTGTCTCATCTAACGGTGTTGGGATCCCACTCTAGGGATCCATACCTACTCCCCGCACCAGTTAGGTAGCTGCCCGGAGCTCTGGGTTCTACGTAATGCCTCAATCTTCATGCTCGGGGGGTTAGCGTTAGGTTAGTTAGGCTTAGGATCAGCAATACCATCCAATACCACTTTATTATATCAACATATTGTACTAGCAACTCTTACATTCTCCCCGCACCCGTTAGTTAGTTGGTTGGACCTGTGTCCAAGGTTATTCACCAATCTTCCTCCTCCACATTCTGTTAGGGAGTGTTAGGCTTCGCCACATCAGGGTTACGTCTTTTACTCACCTTAGAGCCTTATTTCCTACATCCTGCGTCCCTTCAATTGCATGGCTAGTCCTTATATTTCAGCCTGAGCTTATATGTTTCCTTACGAGTAACCTTAGGTCCGGTACACTTGCTCCTCAATGACCCGCAAACGGTCTCAAGTCTAACGGTATCAAAAACCAGACTTTCATTTTGAATTGCTAGTTACAAACACGCCAATAATAACATGTAACGCGATTAACTGCCAGGATCCCACTAAACAAATGTGCGAATGTGAACTGTATGAAGATCAAAACTCGAACTTACCCGAAAATCAACTCCTTCAAAGTTCCTCTCATACGTCTACCACACGTGTAGGTGCTACTCGATTCAACAACTCATGCATATGCACTACTCGATTCAACAACTCATGCATATGCACCTCCGCAAGGTCTTTGCCCTCACGAGAATTGGGGCGTGAGCTGGGACGGCGAGCTGAGAACGTCAAGGTGCGCGAGCGCCCAAGGGTGCACAGTGATGTAGGTCATGTATGGGGGCGCGAGGAGCAGTACCTGGTGAAACATTGAGGATCAGCGTGAAATCACGCCCAACGTCTAGAAGGGCGGACTCACCATCTCTAGGAAAACCTCGCCCATACCCTTGCCTACTTCTTCGATCACTTGAGACGAGCATGTCAGATAGAACATGCGAGTTTGGATATGTTGAGGAAGATAATGCGTGTGTCGGCGACAGTCGGCGTGGGCTCGCACGTCGGGCATGAATGTTGTGTACGAGCCTTGGAATTGGGCGCAGGAACTACGAAAACCTGCCTAAGTAAGTGGAATAAACGTACAAAGCGTGATTGAAATACCTGTGAATGCGCAAGGACAAGGGTGTGCGTATGCCAGAGCTCGTAGAGCTCAATGTGCTGGACTCACGGTTCAGAATTTCCAAACGCGAGCCTGGGCACTTAGCGCATAAAAAAGCGGATGGGTGACTACTTGGAACGAACGACGAAAATGAACAATTGTCAGCATTTAAAAGGAGGACTGACCAGACTCCAACTTGCGGTTGGACACTGCTAGGCTGCAAGACGCATAGGCTTATCGAAGCCAAGCGTGTGCAAAAGAATGTGCCGCGTTGAACGTACGCTAAGCATCAGACGCGCTGAAAGCAAGAGGATCAGACTCGATTGAAATGATGAACAAAAGAGACATACCTGGAGCATAGAAACCAGGTAAACATTAGCTTAAAGTTAATTAGAAACAAGGTAGACATTAGCTTAAAGTTAATAGACTTTGCTTACCTTGTGTTGTAAATTTAGTGCGTGATACATGTTAAGAGCAAAGAGCATTGGATTACATAATCAACACAACGCTGTGTGTTTGTAGGGACGCACGGTTGTTTGTGCAGCTTATGTAATATACGTCGCAGATCCCTATAGGAATTACTGCCTTCCATCTTACATAATCTTTTCCTCTTCACTCAGTACCACCACCATACCATGTAATTATGTGGGGCCCCGCTTTTTGGGCCCGTGCCCATGACTCGCCTTTACCTCAAGATCGAGCTCGACGATGGAGTCGAATCCACGTAGAGTAGCCGTCGACCTCTCATGGCGTGAACTCTTCACTCTTCTATCTCAAATCGCGCCCCATCTCTGGTCCTCCCGCTACCCAAAGCTGCAATTCATCACAGTACGTATTTCCATTACAACTTGTTACACCAACTAATCATTTCCCGCCCTCGTCGTGTTTGCCGTCAGGTTTGAACTTGCGATGGGTGCCGCGTTTGGACTCGTTATCGCGAGTTATATTTGGGCGGATGAATTAGCAGTATGTGGTGAGTGCTAAGTGCTGCTTTATTTTTTACACGATGTGGGTTTTAATTGCACAAATGAGCAGGTCACTCACATGATCCATACCGACTGTCTCCTTCATTTATGAGACTATCAAGCATTCCGGCATCAGGAGTATTAGGCGCGAAGGGACGCAGAGGTTATTGGCGAGTATCAGACTTTGAACAGGACAGTTCTTTGTGAGTGTTTTCGTCTCATCTCTTTTCAAACGCGCTTCTCCTTTCAAATCCACTTCTTATTTTTGTTTTTCGTTTCTATCACGAATATCAACGCTGATCTTACCTTTAGTATCTCTCAACCTCCTGAACCTCGTACAAATTCTCATCATTATCACGCTCCCGACATTGTTCAAGTTGTCATCTCCCCGTTGGGCATAGGTCCGTTCTTCCTCGCTCATATCATTCAATTCATTAACCTTCTCAATTTATAAAATTCAGACGCGCAGCACATTTCACATCACCTATCTGGTGACAGATACGCAATATTTTGCATGTTGCAATACCCCTCGCACGTGTACTTGCTTTCCTTCCTCCTCTCGCCGCGCTCTTCTTCCCTTGCGTCATTCACCTTTCTGCGCAATCGTCAATCGAGTTGGACGACGGCGACTAAGCGCATGCAGATGACCTTACTGATTTATATGGTCAAAACAGAAATAGGTTTCAAATTTGTGAAAAAATATCTTTTGGTGGGCTGGTACATATCATGGAGGGTACTTCTGGGATGGATATGAGCCAACAATTAAGAAAAACGGCGGTTCGGTTGTGGAGATATGTCCATATTACTGATATTTGAGCCCACCTCCCATATCACATGAATGCCGACCTCCGGAAGGTCTGGGACCATTCCCAATCGATTCAGAGGCCTCAAATACCTTAGGAGAGATGTTTCCAGTATCGGTATTGAGGCGGAATACTGGGATAGTGACATACAGGAGGTCAGGAGGAGGGGGAGGACCTTGTATATCTCAGGAACACGATTTTTCCAGGCAATTCTGGCATGACCATCGTGTTCAGAGGGCTCAATAACCCCCAGGAAAAATGCTTCTGAAGGACAGGCTAGTCATATGAAGTCTAGAAAAATCGATCTTTGGGTCGGGCAGCATGACCTGGGTGGCCAACTTTGGAAGATGATTTTTAGAGCAAACTCCGGCTCGACCAACGTCTTCAGATGGTCAAATAACATCAAGAACGAGTCCTAGCTAAAGCCAAGCAAGCCATATGAAGGCTGAAAAAATCGATCTTTGGGTGGGGGGAGGATGACGGGGGCAGCCAACTTTGGAACATGATTTTTAGAGGGAAATCTGGCTCGACCAACGTGTTTGTATGGTCCAATAACCTCTAGAACGAGTCCTACCTAAAGCCAAGCAAGCCATATGAAGGCTGAAAAAATCGATCTTTGGGTGGGGGAAGGATGACAGGGGCAGCCAACTTTGGAACATGATTTTTAGAGGGAAATCTGGCTCGACCAACGTGTTTGTATGGTCCAATAACCTCTAGAACGAGTCCTACCTAAAGCCAAGCAAGCCATCTGAAGGCTGAAAAAATCGATCTTTGGGTGGGGGAGCATGGCCTGGGTGGACAACTTTGGAACATGATTTTTAGAGGGAAATCCGGCTCGACCAACGTCTTCAGATGGTCAAATAACATCAAGAACGAGTCTTAGCTAAAGCCAAGCAAGCCATATGAAGGCCGAAAAAATCGATCTTTGGGCGGGGGAGCATGACAGGGGTTGCAGTCAACTTTGGAACATGATTTTTAGAGGGAAATCTGGCATGACCAACATGTTTGTATGGTCCAATAACCTCTAGAATGAGTCCTACCTAAAGACAAGCGAGTCATATGAAGGCTGTAAAAAGCAATGTGTGGGGGGGCCAGCATGGCCGGGGTCGTCAACTTCAGAATCTGATTTCTTCGTGCAAATCTGGCATGACCATGGTCTTTGGATTGCTCAATAACCTCGAAATCAAGTCCTACCTTATCCTCCCCAAGTCATATGAAGGCTGTAAAAATCGATCTTAGGAGAATGTGGTGGTGGTACTGCTTACATAAGCAAGAATGCGGTACTCTCAGAGGGGGCCTGCTCACCACTCTATGCCACTGTGATGCACCAGCGAATACATCTTGCTGATTTGTTGCCAAGGTTCGGAGTGTTAGATCCTGCCTGCCTTTGCCTTATAAAATGCGACATTTGCGAATTGGGGAGGTGTTGTGCAGAAATGCACAGCATGGACCAATCTGTGGTGCTCTGGAACCATATCACGCTCAACCATCCTTTCAGAATCTCGAAATAAAGTCTCACATCAAGCCCAGCAGGTCATTTGGCTTCTTCCCTCTATGGGGGACTTCACACACATATGTTGTCCGAGTCCTTGGATTTGATTGACTTTTGCTTCTTGGCTGGTATAGGCTTGCATGAGTTGGGCCGGGGCGCATTAGTGATGTTCCGGCACGGCTTGGCCCAAAAGCCACAGCTTTGGCCTGGCTTCAGACAGCTCTGGCCTGCAAACAACCAAAGCCGCAAATGACAGCTGGCTTTGGCCTGAGCCGCAGCTCAAGTAGACGATTCTGACAAGACTCACCTGCCAGTGTGTGCCTCAGAATGGAGTCACAGTGATTGATAGCGGCGGTGAAATGGTTGGCGGCTTCTTCGTGACATGCACCACCCAAGGCCACCTCTATCAGAGATGAATTCCCCATGAAGGGGAGGAGCCCTTAGATTTGACCGACTTTCGCTTCTTGGTTGGCTTTGCCTTTATAAATGTCTCACTCACTCCATCACTCCATCACAATTTGACCAATTTTGTTGGAATGGGAATGAGGGCCGAATGACACCCTCAGCCCGAGATGATGAGCTGGTTGCTCATTGTTTTGCATGCAAATACTGGAGCTCCAACTTTGAGACGAAAATAAGTTGAAGGGAATGACATCAAAGCAGGAGGTCACCTCTAATTCCATGATATGCATGTCATCCGATGAAGACTTGTTACCATGCCCATCCACCGAGATTTGTGGTTTTAACACCTGTAGGTTTACTACACCATTTGCCCATAGGCTTTCTAAGATCGGAAATTGCTACAAGTGAGTGGGGATACATATGAAAGGCATCAGTGTTGGTGAGGAAATAGGAATGTGAACTCTGGGGAGTCACAAGGATATAGACCTCGAGAGGCGAGCTAGTGAATCTAAAGCGAAAATCCTGGTCGCCTCTATCAGAGATGAATCCCACATGAAGGGGGGAAACCAGGACCTTGCTACCCAAATCGCCACCAGAGCCAACAAGACAGTGAAAAGGTAAAAAAAAAGCGAAATTCCTGGCCACCTCTATCAGAGCTGTTTCCCCCTTGAAGGGGAGGAACCAAGATCTTGCTACCCAAACACCCCTCAGAGCGAAAATCTTGGCCACCTCTATCAGAGCCCATGAAGGGGAAAAGCCCTTAGATTTGACTGACTTTCGCTTCTTGGCTGGCAAAACCTGGACCTTCCCACCTAAATAGCCCTCAGAGCGAAAATCCTGGTTACCTCTATCAGAGATGAATCCCCTATGAAGGGGAGGAGTCCTCAGATTTGACCGACTTTCGCTTCTTGGCTGGCAAAACCATGTGGGCCAACATGTGGCCGACTGTCATATGAATAAGTTGCCCTCGGGCAATGGATGGTACAATGGAACATGATTGTATCTCTGACGGAACCATGGGAAGAAAGTTAATGTTCAAGGATATTCAATTCACTGGTTGGGTTATAAAGCGGTGTCCGTGCTTACCTCTATCAATCTGCTGCCCAATCGTGTTGGGGCTGTTCATCAGCATCAGGTAGTTGCTACAGCTGAGCTTGATATGATTAGCAACCCATCCTGATTGTTTTCCATTGCGGAATATTTCTGGTAGTTGCTACAGCTGAGCTTGATATGATTGGCAACCCATCCTGATTGTTTTCCATTGCAGAATATTTCTGGTAGTCGCTACAGCTGAGCTTTATATGATTGGCAACCCATCCTGATTGTTTTCCATTGCGGAATATTTCTGGTATCGGTATTTTTGTGCAAGGTTGGACGCCAAACTTGAACCATGCACATCAACGTCAGCAAGTTAGTTTCTCCATGGGGAATGTCACACACACAAGAGTTGTCCGAGTGCTTAGATTTGACTGACTTTTGCTTCTTGGCTGGTATTGGCTTGCATGAGTCGGCTAGTGATGTTCTGGCATGGCTTGGCCCCAAAGTCATAGCTTTCGCCTGGCTTCAGATGGCTCTGGTGTGCAAAAAATCACAGCCAGGGATTCATCTCTGATAGAGGTGGCCTTGGTGGCCACCCAGATAGCCCTCAGAGCGAAAATCCCGGTCGCCTCTATCAGAGATGAATCCTGCATGAAGGGGGGAAACCAGGACCTTGCTACCCAAATCGCCCCAGAGCCAACAAGACAGTGAAAAGGTAAAAAAAAAAAGCGAAAATCCTGGCCACCTCTATCAGAGCTGTTTCCCCCTTGAAGGGGAGGAACCAAGATCTTGCTACCCAAATACCCCTCAGAGCGAAAATCTTGGCCACCTCTGTCAGAGCCCATGAAGGGGAAAAGCCCTTAGATTTGACTGACTTTCGCTTCTTGGCTGGCAAAACCTGGACCTTCCCACCCAAATAGCCCTTAGAGCGAACTTGGGGGCCGTCCATCAGCATCAGGTAGTCACTACAGCTGATCTTGATAGAATATTTCTGGTATCGGTAATTTTGTGTAAGGTTGGATGCCAAAACTTGAACCATGCGCATCAACCCCAGCAAGTTAGTCCCTCCATGGGTGATTTCACACACATAACAAGCATAGAATCCGATGAAGACTTGTTACTACGCCCGTCCACCGAGATTTATGATTTTAACACCTATAGGTTTACTACACCATTTGCCCACAGGCTTTCTGAGATCGGAAATTGGTTTGAGTGAATGGGGATAGACATGAAAGACATTGGTGTGGGTGAGGAAATAGGAATGTGAACTCTGGGGAGTCACAAGGACATCGACCTCGAGAGGCAAGCTAGTAGTATCATCCTTGAGGGATGCTACTGAGGCAAATCTCTTCAAGTATGAGGAGGATCAGGGACTAGCTAGAAGCCGAAGATATGCGAAGGCGTGCAAAAATTGTGATGGGGTCATGAAGAAGGAGGCTCAAGAAGTCAAAGCCAGAAAAGGAGGATCACAACATTCTTCCGAGTCGTTTGGGTGAAGGGATGGTAGATGAACGCTTGAAAAAGGGTCGTACTCACCAGATTAGGTGTGTATCAATTCGTCCCATGCCTCACTTTCTATCATTAACATTTTGCTAAGCCTTGGGGAAGAATCACCGGACCAAGAAGAACAGACAATGTACAGTCATTACTGGGATTCCGACTATCCTGCAACTATCTTCATTTTCAAATATACTTCGTTGGGTAGGTCATGGTATTTTCTATGTGTCCCCACTCATGCCAACCCCCGACCCCGCCTGATACAACCCTCAACCCAAGCGACTTTTTCTTGACCTTGCTTGCATCATTGCAACAACATCAATGACATTGTAATCACATTGTGGCAAGGGACACTTACAAAGGCAAAGCCAGCCAAGAAACAAAAGTCAGTCAAATCTAAGATTTGGACAACCTTTCTGTGTGAGAAGGCAAGGTAAGCATACCTACTTTTATCATGGGCCAACATGTGGCCGACTTTCATATGAATGAGTTGCTCTTGAGCAATGGACGGATAGACTACATGAACCTGACAATGAATTAGACGCTGATATGCCATAATGCTCTGATTATCTGTACCCTATGCCAAGCAACAGCCACATCGCTCCACAGAGCACCAATATGATCGTCATTACTGACCATCAGCCCTCAGCCACATGCAGCCCTCAGCCCATGGAAACCCTTTGCCAAATTCAATCCCCATCCAATCATGCCCTGGGCCCAATACAACCTCAACCCAGGCGGCTGAGCATCAGTTACTAACCAAATGATATACGATTCTTGTAAATGGGTTCGGGTACATAACTGGTTTTGTTAAGGGTTGTAATGTCAGACGTAAATACTAACAATTGTCGGTGCGGAACACACAGTTAAACCTTGTGAATAATGGATCTTTTGACCCGCTCATGTGACCAAAAATGAGATTATATGAAAATACAACTATTATATCATAAGATTGTATATACTATCATTGAAACACAACACAGGTACACCAGTGCGCAGCACAATGTTCGCAAAGGTGGCTACAGTGGAGTACAACATGTATATAACACATATATGTAACATACATACATACATACATATGTACTTACACACACGTACACAGTACTCCGCTATGGCTACTGTAGCCATAGCGGAATCCTGTGTACAGGAACGTGACATAGATATCACGGATCAAAGTATATATAGAATGTTCCGCGATGGCTAAAGTAGCCATCGCGGATCAAATCGAAGTGTAATTTCCGTATCACGTGATGTGTCACGTGGTGTTCGCGGACCTGATAATGTGAACATGAGGCAAAGGAAGGGTGAAAAAAAGAACATGAGGCGTACGGAGGGGGTAAAGGGTGTAAAAAGATTAATCTACTCCTTCAGACGCAACCACCACGATACCCTGATCTAAGTACAACGTCTCCACTGCTCTACGACGAACGATGGGAGGCAAACGCGCTAAGAAGGGAGAAAACAACGCAGTACGTTATTATACATGTTTTTTAAATAGAAACAGAGACTTACGTTGATTTTGTGTGCTTCTAACGGCAATCAGGAGGCAGGCGGATCAAGCCTGCATCTGCACCTAGATACTAGACCGATCCAAGCGATAACACCCCAGAACGATGTGGGGAAGGCTACGCAAAAGCTGGACACGCAAGTTGGGAAATGTAAGGCAGGGGTAGCGTGGATTGACTTACTGAAGATGGCGAAACGTTTAAAATTCGGCGTTTATAACGACCGAGCAGAAAACGAGGTGGAGCGGAACAAGCTAATCCTGTCCTTCCAGCAATCCGGGATACTGTCTATGAAAGAGACAGCTGCCATCCCGATCATTATCGACATCAAGCGTTTGAAAAGCGGACTCACGCTGTCAACTGATTTTAGCGATCCAGACGCTGTGCGAGAGCTTGAAATCACGGACAACGACAAGATAATCGTTGCGTCCGGCCAGCATCGTCTTGCAGCGTTGAAGAAATATAGCCAGATGCTCAAGGACGAATATGCTGCGCTAGAGAAAAAGAAAGACAAGATCTCGGGCTTAACGAACGTCTCAGCAGAACACGTGGCACAATGGGACGACTTACGTGGGCAGATGGGCATCCTGCTGGGGAAGATGGACAACATTGGTAAATGGGGCGTCGTTGTCTACAATTCAAGTGAGTCGTCTCATTCTTAACCATTCCGCGATGGCTACTTGAGCCATAGCGGAGCATTTGACATACCTAAACATAGGTCCGGTCAGTTATACCCCCATAACTTGCGCGACTACGCGACTGCGCGACAATTTTATAGGGGGGCATGCACGACAATTATGTCTGACCATGCGCGACTGCGCGACAATTATGTCTGACCATGCGCGACTGCGCGACAATTATGCTGACCTAAACATAGGTCCGGTCAGTTATACCCCCATAACTTGCGCGACTAACGCGACTGCGCGACAATTGTTATAGGGGGGCATGCACGACAATTATGTCTGACCATGCGCGACTGGCGCGACAATTATGTCTGACCATGCGCGACTGCGCGACAATTATGCTGACCATGCGCGACAATTATGTCTGACCATACGCGACTGCGCGACAATTATATAGGGGCATGCGCGACAATTATGTCTGACTATACGCGACTGCGCGACCATTATGCTGACCATGCGCGACAATTATGGTCTGACCATACGCGACTGCGCGACAATTATATAGGGGCAATGCGCGACAATTATGTCTGACTAAACGCGACTTGCGCGACAATTATGCCTGACCATAGTCGCGACCAAATTATGTCTGGACCATACGCGACTGCGCACAATTAGATAGGGACCATACGCGACAAATTTATGCGCTGACTATATACGCGGCATGGCCGCGACAATTATGTCTGACCTATACGCGACTGCGCGACAATTA